CAACTGGAACAGTTAGTAGTCCTTAACGTGTCTGCAAGGCAGGAAGTTAATTTTCTTCCCAGTGCTTTTCCATTGTTGTTGGCACATCTACTGCCTTTTCCTCAGCACTGCCAACTCTGTTTCAGTCAAAACTCGTCCTTCCTTGTCCACCCCTTTCTCCAAACACCCTGTTAGTATCTTGCCAATGCCTGCCCCATGCCCCTGTGTTCACAGCCCCAATGACCCCCGAAAGTCATTTCATTAATCAGATTTAGTTCATGTTCCAAGTCCAGAATCTATCACCTTGAGCTACTCTAAATTTGATCTTTGTGAAGAACCTAAAGAACACTGGGTTACTTTAGGTCAGGATTGCAAAGCCATTGATGGGGTGGAATGGGAAAGCTTTTATTAGTGTGCTTCTCCTGCTGAGTCTATTTATATGGATAAATACTTTGAGGGAATGACAGTCTCCAGGGCTGCCAACATGGCGCTTTTCAAGGGCCCTCAACTTATACAGAACAGTTAAAGAAAAGGAGTGTACTGAACTGACTCTCTTGATTCCAAGAAATGCAGATTTCTTAAATTGTGTAATCTGCACTACTAAATAGAGCAGGGAACCAATTAAGAACAGTCCCCTATTTAGTTTAATTAGGCTAACTACAGGTAAGGGAGTCGGATGGTAAAGAAAAGAGCATTAGGCAGGGGGAAAAAACCCTGACTTTTATCTCTTCTGTCTCTAGCATCATAATATTCAAAATGTGCACTGGCTGAATTTTGTTCCTGCTCTTTTAAGACAAAGTGAATGACAGGCCATACCAATATTTTGATTTAATTGCATGAGCCGTTGCAACACTGTGCTCAGAATAATGCAATTAAGGTTGTCATCCTAAACACACTTATTTCAATGGAGCTTCCTTCTGCATAAACATGCTTAGGATGAGGGATGAGGAGGAATGCATTTTAAATGGGTTTATACAAGGAATTTTGTGATTTTGACTCACATCTGACTCTTGTGTTTAGCACCTGCTTATGTCTGAGTCACCTGTGCATTAAGTTTTTAAAGCCTATTTATACGCAATTATATGTATAAAAGAATCAAGACCTGTGTGGTACAATATTTATGCAAATATCATTATTATTAATAATACATAAATATTTTATACAGTTATATATGCATTGCTCTATGTATCAGTGCATGTGCTGGTTACTTTAGGAAACATGGAGTGTTTGTGTATAATATACAGATTAAATTGCATTTATACTTATACTGTACATCATTTGTGACAACTGTTTGTATTGTTTGCAGAATTGCAGGGGCAGAACTTGCTTCTTGATGAGATTGAGGAGCAAGATGGAAATTAGAGAAAAATGTGTGGATAAGCTTGATACAGAGTTGTGTTAAATAAAGAGAATCCCTCCCTGCTTCAGATTACATTGCATGGTAGTGGTTCTATGCTTACTTGCCTATGACTAAGACCCATCGGGCGTAAGAGGACTTACTTCTAGTAGACATGCATAGGATTGTGCTGTAAGCCTTTTATAAAAACGTAATTGCTCTGAGTGGGGAAAATACTTTAAAGTTTTTCAAATTCAGTGTTCATTTTTCTCTCAACATAACCTAACAGGGCTGGAGTTTCTCATTATTCAGCTGCCTAGGAAAGCACTTTGATTGAAGCAGCAGTTAACAAGACACTTTCCCTTCCTAATAAATATCATGGATGTGAATTTCCTGCTCCCAAATAGTAGAATGTCAAGGAAAGATTAAGGGTCTTCTGCTACTGCTGACTATGGAAGAACAAAAGAGGAATGCCATTCTGAGGAAAAGCCTTGACGAATTTTACCATGTCTAAGATCCTGTTTAGATGTTCACTTACCAAAAAGGTTGCTACAGCTCTTGGAGATCCTGTCATTCTGGAACATATTAAGCAGGAATGATAAATCCAGAACCCTCCAGATGCTGGACTTCAACTCCCAAGGGTCAAGGATGATGTGAGTTATCATCCAACAACTGGAAGGCCACTGTTTCCCCACCCCTGATCTAAAGTGTCCCACACATTGCTATTCTGCCTGGCAACCTCCCCTCCTTTGGAAATATATTATCTGTGTGGCTGCTAAGGTGGCTATAGTACAGTCATGATGGCTGTAGTATACCTTCAGGATATACCAGGTGCTGGGGAAGAATGAAGAAAGCTATAGCAGACCCTAGCAGTGTCCTTCTTTTCCAGGGATGCACCAAATTTAGAGAAGCCATCCTGGTTTCTGATTTGATCCCAGAATACCCCACTTTTCCTTAGGATGTCCCTATTGTCATTGGAGAAATGTTGGAGGGTATTATGTAGCGCTGGTGTCCTGCCTGTGGGCTCCTTGCAATCTTTTTTTTTTTAATTAATTTTTTATTAAGTTTCCAATATACATTCCATCAAAGTTTAACATTCATATCTAACATATACATCTTTTAGACTTCCCTCAGCCTGTCTGACAATTTTCCATATTCTCACAATTACTCATATTTCTTAAATTTATATTGCACTTTAACAATCTTAATCTTATCATATCATATCTTTTAAGCAATATTTCTACCAATCATTTTCACAGAGCTTCTTGAAAGCCAACAAGCGTTAATTGCTCCTCACATATATTTTTGATATACTCTGTAAATTTATTCCAGTCCTTGGTGAATCTCTGATCGCGTTGGTTCCGAATTCTCCCCGTTGATTTATCCATTTCAGCGTATTCCATCAGTTTCATTCTCCATTCTTCCCTCGTCGGCATTTCTTCCTGTTTCCATTTCTGGGCCATCAAAATTCTAGCTGCTGTCACTGCATACCTAAATAACTTCTCATCCTTCTTTTTGATTTCATTCCCTAATATTCCTAGTAAAAATGTTTCTGGTTTCTTAACAAAAGTATATTTCAACATTTTCTTCAACTCATTATAAATCATTTCCCGGAAACATTTTACTTTTTTACATTCCCACCACATATGATAAAATGTTCCTTCGTTTTCCTGACATTTCCAGCACTTATTGCTAACTTTATACATCTTACCAAGTTTTACTGGTGTTACATACCATCTATATATCATTTTCATAACGTTTTCTTTTATTGTAGTGCATGCAGTAAATTTCATTCCTTCTTTCCATAATTTTATCCACTCATCAAATTGTATGTTATAACCAAAATCTTTGGCCCACTGAATCATAACTGATTTTACTTCTTTGTCCTTTGTATGCCACTCAAGTAATAATTTATACATTTTTGATAGAATTTTAACATCATTATTCAAAATTTCTTGATGAAACCTAGATTTTTTTTTCCTGAAAACCTCTTTCTGACAACTCTTTTTTGAACATTGCATTCAACTGAAAATAATGCAACCAATCATTCACATATTCTTTAACTTCATCACATGGTTTCAATTTCCATTTATTTCCTTCTTTAAATATCAAATTCTCATATGTAATCCATCTCCCTGTCATATTGATCTTTTTAACACTTATTACCTCCAATGGTGATAGCCAATATGGAGTTTTAAACTCCAATAAGTTTTTGTACCTATTCCAAACTTCAACCAACGATCCTCTAAAGATGTGGTTTTCAAAGCCTTTATGCACTCTTTTTTTATCATACCACAGATACGCGTGCCAACCGAATCTATTATCATAACCTTCTAAATCCAACAATTCTGTGTTTTCTAACTTTATCCATTCTTTAACCCAGCAAAGACATGAAGCTTCATAATATAACTTTAAATCTGGCAGGGCAAAGCCTCCTCTATCTTTTGCATCTGTTAATATCTTGAATTTTATTCTTGGCTTCTTGCCCTGCCAGATATATCTTGACATTATTCTTTGCCATTCTTTAAATATTGTCACACCTTTAATTATTGGAATTGTTTGAAATAAAAACAACATTTTCGGTAGCACGCTCATCTTTATCGTTGCGATTCTTCCCCACAATGATAGTTTCAGTGGGCTCCTTACAATCATTTGGTTGGCCACTTTTCTGAGAAACAGGATGTTAGACAGGTCTTTGGTCTGATCCAGCAGGGCTCTTCTTATGTTCTTATAACATCCTGGCAGTCCAAGGGCATGGAAGACTTCCAATGTTCTCTTTCCAGTCTAGTAGTGACTGCAGTAGCAACCACACTAAGGAATGCAGGTCTTAGGGGGACTTACTGGATAATAGTAAAAAAGAAAGAAAGAAAAAGTGGTTGCTATTCAAAATGCAGCTGTGCTTATCCTAAAGATTAAACCATCTCTCTGTATCTAAATCATTTATAAAATTCAGCAACCCTGATTTTTTTTTTTAAATTACCCCCTTTTGACTGTCTGCTTATCCTTGTCACCTATTCCCAGGGGTTGTTAGAGCTGTCGCAATCATTATGGGCATAAGCTTTAGAAAATAAAATTACACAGCATTTCCAAACCCATCATTTCTTAGGGTGTTTGACTGTTATATAAAATTTGCATCAGTGTTCTGCACAGCAAGAAAACAATTATTCACAATAAATCTTTCCTGAACTGTTTGGGCAAAACTATTACTCACGCAGGGTTACAACTGAGTTAATTTTTGGAAAGAGTAGTTGGAAAAACAATCTTGGGCTGAACTGTTTATGAACACAGCCATTTCTCTGATTTCTAATTAGTGGGGAATGGTTCCAAGGAGGAGCCGCGCTGTTGAAGTCTGTGCTTCACAAAGTCCTCCTTGTTAAGAGACACAAGGAACAGTTCTATGTTGCTGAATAAACAACTGTGTCACAGAACCTTTTCAAAAGCAATACAATCTGGTTTACCAGCTACCATCTATATCTTGAACACCATTGATGTGAAACTGAATATCTTGGGATTAAACACCTTTCTATATTTTTTTGTTTAGAGGACTTTAGATCATTTTGAAATTGGACCTGGGCCTAATGATTTATTCCAGACTTCTGTTTGAAGGGCTTCAGACTCTGTTGAACTTATTACTTTAAGGCAGTAGCTCTGTGAAGGGCAAGTGTGTTTTGATATTGGTGTGTGCATCGCTTCTCGGCCTTTTGGCTAAGATCAAGTGTTGATATTGGTGTGTGCATTCTCAGTTTTATGGCAGTTTTGTTACTGACTTCAGTGGGCACAAATTTGTGTCCATTGGCCTCACTCTACAGAGCACCAGGGTGTGCTTGCATAAAGTTGCAACATGCTCTTTCCTCCTCCACTCATGCTCTGATTGATGCTTTCCAGTGTGCCATATCTTTCCTGCCAGTGTAAATAAATTTAGAGGCATAAGGCAAAGGGAGAGAAGATTGCCAGGAAATGGGGACAAAGATCCAAAGCCTAAGCAACATCCATTTCCACTGTCATATTATTGTGGCTACAAGTGTATTGTATAGAACATGTCTTCAACGTTTCTGCTTGTGAAAATATAACTCAAGTTTGCTTACAAATAGTTTAATGAAAGAATAAAATTTCAGTAAAATGCACAAAATAATGGAAACAGTTGCCCAGTCAGCTGAATGGCAGATGAATTAAAACCAGTACTTTGAAGCACCTGCAGCTGTATATTCCACACATTAGATGCCTGCCTACATCTCCCCCTAGCTTTCTGAAAAGCAACAGATCCAGCCCGGCCACTTCTCACAAATTCTCCTCAAATTCTGTGTCCGGTTGATGCTGAATACTCTCCAAGTCTTCTAATAGCTCCCTGAAAGAGGCAATACTCTTATCACAACTGGGAGAAAGGACACTCTTCATCATGATCATCATCTGTTCATTTGTATGCCACTTTCCCACCAAATTGTACCCAAAGTGGCTCACAACTTCTCATGTGATCAATCAAGTACAACAGTTCAAAAAATTGCATATTAGAAACAATTTGAAATAATATCAATCAATTAAAAGATTTAAATAATAACCCATGCACATTTTATTTGAATGTGTAATTCAATTCCACACTGTCCCAGGCTGCCCTCAATGTTCAAGAAGCTGTATATGAGACAGGGTTGCTGTGTTCTGGTGAAATATTCCAGTACCAATACAATACAGTACAGTGGTACCTCGGGTTACAGACACTTCAGGTTACAGACGCTTCAGGTTACAGACTCCACTAACCCAGAAATAGTACCTCGGGTTAAGAACTTTGCTTCAGGATGAGAACAGAAATCGTGTGGTGGCGGTGCAGTGGCAGCGGGAGGCCCCATTAGCTAAAGTGGTACCTCAGGTTAAGAACAGTTTCAGGTTAAGAATGGACCTCCAGAACAAATTAAGTTCTTAACCCGAGGTGCCACTGTAGTTTGGAAATAGCACAAACTTGCTGCCTAAGGAAAACAAGCTGCACTGATGTTACAAGAAACAAATACTTGGATCAGTAAATTAGCTAAAGGGAGGAACTGGTGGTGTTTTGCATCACAGTTACAAATTATACGTCCCTATGGATGGTGCTGTGACACAGGTGCTGGAAAAAGTGAAGGAGGATGGGTATTGCAACCAAGACCTTTGGGTAAATGAATCTTCTTTCCTTGCAATTTTGTTTTTCAATAACGTCAAAGTGCAAGTAGATAAATAGGTTCCGCTCCAGCAGGAAGGTAAATGGCGTTTCCATGAGCTGCTCTGGTTTGCCAGAAGCAGCTTAGTCATGCTGGCCACATGACCTGGAAGCTGTACGCCGGCTCCCTCGGCCAATAAAGCGAGATGAGCGAGATGAGCGCCGCAACCCCAGAGTCGGCCATGACTGGACCTCATGGTCAGGGGTCCCTTTACCTTTACCTTAATCTTACCCTTAGCAATAAGATGTGCAACACAAAATATGGAGGTATTTATCCGTTTTATCATAATGCATGAGAAAAGTTCACAAAAAACCAGAGCAAATCACTAGTATTCAGACATTTCATAGTGAAAATATGACACTATGATATATTTCAGGCAACAGAGATTGGTAGTGCCAGTTTTATTTGCCAAAAATGCATCAATCTACAACTAGGCATATGGTTCAATAATGTGTTTTGTGTGTGGCAATGTCTCCTGTATGTCTTCATCAGAACTGTAAAGCCACGTCAACAACAACATTAAACTATAGCTTGTTTATCCCTATTGTGCATTTTTAAAAAAATGACAAATGGAATTTATCTCATTACTAGATTATGTCAGCAATAATTCTCCTACTGATATTTTTCAAGCACATTGCAATCCAGAGATGTAGCAGCATGAAAATACAGAAGATCCCAGGTAAATCCCACTGTTGCACTCAGGTCCTGCTCTTGGGCTTCCCATAGCAATCTGCTTGACCACTGGGAGAACAGGGCGCTGGACTAGCTGGACCTTAGTCTGAACTAGCCGGGCTTTTCTTATGTTCTTAGCCCATAGTGGGCATTTGATATTTAAACACTGGTATTTTGCAACTGGGTGGTGCTGTGGTCTAAACCACTGAGCCCTGGGCTTGCCGATCAGAAGGTCAGCAGTTCGAATCCCCCAACGAGGTGAGTTCCCATTGCTCGGTCCCTGCTCCTGCCAACCTAGCTGTTCGAAAACACGTCAAAGTGCAAGTAGATAAATAGGTACTGCTCTGGTGGGAAGGTAAACCACGTTTCTATGCGCTGCTCTGGAAAAACTGTCTGCAGACAAACGTCAGCTCCTTCGGCCAGTAAAGCGAGATGAGCGCCGCAACCTCAGAGTCGTTCGCAACTGGACTTAACTGTCAGGGGTCCTTTACCTTTTCATTTTGCAACTGAAGATTTGCTTTTCTTCTGCATACCTTGGTGCAATCCTGATTAAATCAATGTTGTTTTAAAATTCTATTATATGCTCCTAATTCCACATTTTGGGGGTATTGCTATGGGGATTTGGCTTCCCCTTCCCTAGAAACATAGGGTATTTTTTCCAGAGGTGAAGGGAAGCAGTATGAGCACTCATAGCAGGCAACAAATTGCTCTATCTCCCCATCAGTTCCCCAGAGAATGGTACCTGCAACCCAATGTGCCTTCAGCTTAGAGATGGATGAGTCAGTCTACCTCTGGCACATGCCACTTTCACTTATGCCCATTGTTAAGTGTCTTCCATCTCATTTCCACATTAATCTGTGAATTTATTTCCCCCTTAAAATATTGATTTAAATATTTGTTTTTAAACTGATACATGTTTTCAAAAGCTGTCATTTCAGAAGAAGAATACTGGAGAAAATGTTCCAGATACTCTTGCATTGCCATTGTTCTTGTGTCATATCCTGAAAATTATGATAACTGCATAGAACTAAAATGTACAAATAATGCATTTCCAAGATAGATTTCACTGCGATAAAATATGCCCAACTTAGTCCCAATTCTTTTCAAAATGGGATTAACAATGAAGACAAGAATCAAGCTGTAGATTCTATCACACATTATTATACAGGTCTTCCTTTTATGCCTACCACCAATGACGCTTCTCCGATCATTACATGCAGGAGAATTCAGATATGGAATGGGGGAATCATATATAACAAGTAATGATTAAGATGAGTTTCTAAGTTTCTTCCCCAAGTTATCAAACATTCAGAATTCCTGAAGGTGTGGGTGCTCAATTGGATAACATCATTACCGTACAATGGCTTTCCTTTCATCTGCTTTTATCTGAATTGCTAATGATATAGACATGAATGAGAGCAGCAGCTACAATTTCATTTTGATGGTAGGGAGAATAATAAACACAGTTCTTTGTGCATTTTTTAGAAGAACAGGAAGGATTGTGGCAGCAAAAGAAAGCTGTGTGTGTGTTTTGTTCAAGGCAAAAAGATTCTGTGCTGTTAATGAAATTACCTATTAGATTTGCATTTGTATTATATTAAATCCCCCCCCCCAAAAAAAGTGCAGAATCAATTCAGCAGCATCACCCTCAGAAAAGAATTTGACAGCGATAGAGATGCCAATGAACAGGCCTATAAGGCTGCTAAGAAATGGCTTAATGAGAGTGTCCCCATTAAAATACTTTCTCTAGGCCCATTAATAAATGTCAAACAGCAGGGGTAAATGCACCTGTACACTGGACAAAAGATGCCTTGGAGGAAAATTGATAAAAGGCAAGGATGATCTTACATCATAATATTTAAATTGTATTTAAAATAGGAATGAAACTCATAGCAAGCTAAGAATGAATGCTAACTTTGTGTTCAACTTTTCTTGCCTCTTTACTGTATTGTTCCCATGATCTGCAGCAGCTTTGCAAGCCTCATTATTTCCTTCTTCCTGAGTGCTGTAAACTGTGTCTAGCTCTTTGCAGTGTCTCCAGGTTTAATCTGTGATGGTGACGAAAAGGCTAGTTGGGCCCAATCTCTCATCATTTGATATCTCTTCAACTTTGCCCTTCCTCCCCTTGCTCTATTCCCTGGCACAAAGCGGTAAAGGCAGAGCTGGTCTTTGCTGTCATCTTCCTGTGGGAAGCTCTTTCCGAAGGGGCCTGCGCTTCCACTCCCCTCTCCTTGGCCACTTCAGCGCTCGTGGGCTACTTGCTGGAGACCACTTTGAACTCAAGTGCTGATTCCAGGTTACAAAACACATATCTTGCATTTGAAAGGCACATATAAATTGCCACTGTTCCTGTTATAATAAATTGCAGGTTCTCCTAGGAAAGTATCAGGTCTTGGCTCATGGGTATTTTAATTAGAAATGTAAAAATACATGCACTGCCATCATATCAGTTGCAATTGATACTAGTCTGTGTTCTATTTAGTTATTAGCAATAGCAGTGAAGCATTTATGATTTTATCCTGTTGTTCTTTAAGGTGGCTTACAAATATCCTGCAAAATAACATACCGTAAGTACACCTAAAGTTAAAGGCACAAAAAACAATGGCAGCTAAATATTTAAAGCGCTATTTTTGAAGAGATAAATATGTGACTAAAAAAAATGCTTTGACTTTGTCCCCAGAATGTGTGGTACTTGCGTCTTCTTTGCAGAGGAAGGCCTACAAAACTAAGAATGCCCAGCCCCTGCCTTCCGCCTTTGGCAAGGAGAAGGAAGCGCAACCAGCTGGGGAAGGTCCAAGGACCCTTCCTTGGCCTCTCCAGGTAGGACTGAGAATGTCTGGAATCCCGAGGAGCCACTGCCAGTCAGTGCTGGCAATATTGAGCTGGCCAGTGGTCCAACTCAGTATAAGGCAGCTTTCTATCTTTGGAGGTTCTTCTCTGAGCACCGCCCCCCCCCCCCCCCCAGAAAAAGAGAATGGCAACCAGGAAGAGGATTGT